AGGCTCACGATCGGAATGCGGCAACCATAGAGGAATCAGTCTGATCTCCATCGCCTCCGAATTGCTTGCCTCTGTCATCCTTCACAGACTGACTGCCACTTGTGAAAACCATATTCGTGAAAAGCATGCCGGATTTCGTCGAGGTCGTGGCTGCATTGACCGTATCTTCACTTTGCGTCAGTTGTTGGAGCACCGTCACACATATTGGCGGCCCACCGTAGTCGTGTTCCTCGATATCAAAGGTGCATTCGATTCGGTGGATAGACATGCACTTTTGGACTGTCTACTCAGGAAAGGTGTACCTGAGGAATATGTAAATATTATCCGAGCATTATACGCGCGTAATTCGGTCAGAGTGAGGGCTTACGGCAAGCTGTCGTCGCCGTTTAATATCTCCAGCAGTGTGACACAAGGATGCCTGCTGTCACCTTTCCTCTTTAACTTCGCTATTGATGAAGTCATGGAAATCGCGTTCACAGGACACGACTTAGAAGGTGTGGATCTACTCTCAGGTGAACGACTTCCTGACTCAGAATATGCTGACGATATTGCCCTCATCTGTGACAGCTCCCAGACATGGCAAGCGGCACTGGACATATTAACACTAACTGTCCGTCACTTCGGGGTTTGCTTCGCTCCCTCGAAGTGCAAAGCGTTCCTCCAAGATTGACTTGGACCGCCTCCTTCACTAACCCTTGGTGTGGATCAGCTAGAAGTCGTTCAAACATTCAACTACCTGGGAAGTTGTATCAGCGCCTATGGGGTTGAAGATGAGATCACGAACCGTATAGCAAAAGCTAGAGGCGCTTTTTCTAACTTTCGCCAATTATGGCACCGTCGCGACATCACTGTCGCCCTGAAGGGTAGAGTGTACAATGCAGCAATACGTTCGACCCTACTGTACGGTTGTGAAACCTGGCCGCTTAAAGCAGCGGGCCTCAAGAGGCTAGTTACGTTCGACCATCGGTGCCTTGGCAGTTTGGCTCACATCTAGTGGGAACACCGCGTTAGTAACGAGTGTGTTCGACGCCTTGTTTACGGCACAGGAAAATGAAATGAACCGCTCAGAACCGTTATTTCACGCAGCAGGCTCCGATGGCTGGGCCACGTGTTGCGCATGCCAGCCCACCGGCTTCCACGATGTGCGTTGTTTGCTCACCGGGGATGTGGATGGAAGAAGAGGAGGGGTGGCCAATCGATGACTTGGTCGAGAGAAATTAAGGCCCTCAGTTTGGGGTTGGCCTCGTTTGGAGCGTCACGGCTGCCTGGTTGTGGTCCAAAAGACGATGAACACGTTTGGCTGGATACACTTGCTGACATGGCAAGGAGCCGACCTCAGTGGCGTTCGTGCTGTGAGTTTCTTTGTCCTTCCCCATCCCTCTTGGCCTCCCCTCCACCCACGATCTCATTATTTAGTATTTTATAATTTTGCATAGTCAATTTTTTTCCACTGCATAATACCAGGCTGGTAGCTTACCGGAACAATGCCCATCCGTTCCTGGTAGCTCAACTGGCTTTCACCTGTAGCATTTTCCCCCTTTTTCTTTTAGGTATTGCGACACAGTAGCTCAGGTGTTTCCTGCCTCTAGCTAACGTGTATATTGTGTGTGTGTGTGTGTGTGTGTGTGTGTGTGTATCTATCCGAGCTAACAACAGTTACATTGATCTGGTGGACAATCCTGCTTTGATGAAGATTCAATTCAGATTCCACCTTTCACTACCCTCTAAAAATCCTCCTTTGGTTTGCTTTATCACGAACAAACATGATATGCTTCCAGACAAGGAAGCATCAAATTGGTCAGGTAGACAAGGAACGAAGGACACCTACGCCTGAACGAACCCATGCTGATAGCCCAGGTTGCGATGGCAGGTAGACAAATGGGTGGGTGAAACGGACGTTGGGCAGGTGAACGAAGTCAACCAACTATCAGCTGACACCGATTAAATGAGCCAGATAGACCATGTAGTATTGGTTTGGTCTGGCATGAAGGAAGCTCAACTTGTGCCCAGATAGAGCAGGTGTGTACTGGACCGAGTTACAGCGAATAAAAAAGGAGTGCGAGGCAATGAGAGCGAGATACAATTGAGTGACGATTGGACTTTCGTACCATGCGTATGGTTACTGTGTCCACTTAGAACCGGTTTTTGGCTTCTTTCAGTTTTACCTGCGTAGGTAAATGGGAAAGCACTTGCGAATCGGGAGCAAAAACCGCATGATACTTAAGCGACTGATGAACTTGTATCTCAACTGGTAGGCGTCGTCCGCGTGGTCCTGCAGTACACGTGGTCTGTTTGTTTAGACCTAACAGTCGGTATTTTGCCAACCTGATCACAACGGACCCACTTAAAAGAGGCGATGGATGGCTCGCTCCGAATTTCCCTGCGAACACCGATTCATTTACTAATCCGTATAGGTACAATGGCTGATGCATACTGATACTGATACTGATTAGAAGCAGCGAGTAGAGCATACTCTGTGTAGCTGCAGCAATTGTCGCTCTTGGGCATTAACGTGTTAATTATCGTTTCGCTCTTTATATTTTGCCTCTGCGAAGTGTTTGTCTAGAAGCTTCTTAAATTCGGACACTGAATTGGCCTCTATTACCGGCTGCGGCAGTTGGTTCCAGGTACTCACCACTCTACGTTCGAAACAGAGTTGGTGAGCGACCCGCTTCAACTGCGGTACGATAAGTTTGTACCGGTGTCCTCGCGTGCTGCTTGGTGGGCGCAGATGAAGCAGTTGTCTCAACATGGGGTAATCACTCAGATGTAATATCCGGTGCGCCATGATTAGGTCAACCCTCAGCCGACGATATGCTAGGGTGTACAGCCCTAGTTTCTTACATCGGTCTTCATATGACATACCTCGTACGTTGGGAATCAGCCCAGTGGTTACATTCTGCACCCGCTCAAGCTTTTCTACCTCGCCCAGCGTGATGGGACAATACGCGGGAGAGCCATACTCTAGCATTGGGCTTATTATCGAGACGAAGAGGCGAGTAGAAATCTCTTCGGACCAAGTGCTGAGGCTGCGCCTGAGCGCCCAAAGCATCCGAAGGCTGTTTTGATACAGCCTATTCGTGTTGTCAATGGACTTTAGGTCGCAGCGTGAGAGCACACCGAGGTCGCGCACGAAAGACGTGGGATGCAACGGTTGACCAGCCACTGTGTACGTTTGGCTGTGCTCACACTTACCCAACCTCATGAATTGCGACTTAGCAGGGTTGATCGGAAGGTTAACTTCTGCAGACCATGTTAAGAGGCTGTCGAGATCCTGCTGAAGTAAATCACAATCATTGAGTGTGCGGATTACTCTCCACACCTTCAAGTCGTCTGCGAACAACGCACAAGGTGATTGGAGTAGCTTAGGCACATCGTTTACATGGATCAGAAACAATATCGGCCCCAGTACAGTGCCTTGGGGCACGCCGCTGCTTGATGGATACCAGTCCGTTAGATGGTTGTCCACCTGGACTCTCCACTTCCGATCCACAAGGAAATTTCTGATCCATTTGTGTAGCGATGCATCTCTGCTACGTTTGTACCGCCCTTGCATGTATGCATAGTCCCTTAAGGGAAATTTGATTGGATAACTCACGCGCACAATTTAGTCAAGACAACCCATAGTATGGTAACTGATAATAGGATCGACAACTGGCCGCTTTTCGATTGGCTACATCAGCGCTTCCAAAGTGACATGTTGCATTGCACAAGAGCTGAGTGTGTCCGCGGCCTCTCTTCTCAACCAATTCGCGGTAGGAAATTGATCTAACAAATTGAATCTGGTTATTTGCCTTTATCGAATGTAAACAAAAAAATGTAACCTCCTGCTAATAATCTATGATGCGTTCAGAAAGGCAACCACAACAGGTGGGTAGTACTGCGTAGTTAAAACGGAGAACTTCAACGTTGGAGTACCTGCTGCGTGGTCGTATAGCGAAGCGCAGTCTCAGTTTATTCTGAACTAGACCTCAGTCACTCCGATCACCAAAATCATTTCCAAAGTGGACGTGTGTCGGCAATATTCACTTCCAACACTGTACCGCACGACCGTTCTCGTTCTCGTTTGGATCTCAATTCTCTTGCTCACCGTATCCGAAGTAAGAGTATTTCCGTGGTATTACCTCCCAACACGGACACCCCAAGACCGGTTTCGTCCTCATGCAGAATCGTCATGTAGGGGTAATCGGAGCTGCTCAATCGTCTAGTGAGTAAGGTGTCAGCCGTTAGCCAATGGATGTCGAGTCCCACTCCCAACTTTGGCTATCTCCACCTGATGAGTCCAAACGAGGACGAAACCGGTCGTGAGATGTCTGTGTTGGGAGATAGTGCCACCGAAGCTCCTCACTTTGAATACGGTGATCAGGATAACTGAGGTCCAAAGGAGAACTAGGACGATCCTGAAGTGCAGTGGTGAGAGAGAGCAACACCGGAGCCCCTGCAGTACGGAAGGGATATGTTGTTGTTGTTGTTGTTGCTGCTGCTGCTGTACTGGTTAAGATCTGGAAGATAGGATGGTTTGGGTACGAGGAATCATCATGGAAAAAGGGCAGAATTCATTTTAGAGTTTGACCAAGAAAATGGATTCATAGATTTGCAGTAGGCGAATTTCTCTAATTCCCATGTGTTCAAAAATCGTAGTTACTTAACAACTCATCTTCTTCCTACATTTAAACACACTAGGTGTGCAGAGTCCAGACAATACCCCGGTATTTCCAACTTGTGCATATAACTGAAAGCTAATTCAACCAGTGGAGCTTCTCTTGTTCCAAGTACATGTGCCGGTGGTAATGTTAGCTCACACTCGCATATTTCATGCGAGAGTATGACCACACCTGTGGGCGCAGGTTCTCGCGCACTTGAGAGAGATATATCTACTTTTATACAAATATCTACACACATATGTGATATATGCGGTATTCACGTTATAAAACGCTGCAAATGAGGTTACAAAACCAAACGAATCATAGCAGAGCATATTAAAAGCTAAAGCTCCTTACCCGCGTTTTGTCTTGATATATTCAATGAGGCTCTTGTAAAACAACGGACTAATACGTAGAATGTCACGCCTTCTGAACACATGCTAAAAAGAAAGAGTTCAAACTCCATGATAGTTTTTACTAAACAAAGTTAACATTAGTCTGTGACATACATTACAGTGATGCGTAAGGTATGAATCACAAGCAAGACGGAAAAGCCACGGAAACTAAGGGATCAGATGAACAACGCGGGCACCAGGAACGAAAGTCGGCCAATAACCGGGAATGATGCACTAGCGACGAATGCTATCGGACCCATGTCGAAAAGAACGGGGAACGTAGTGGTGAAAAGACATTCTCCAGTCAGATACGCCCTTGTGCATGCCTCCAGGAATAGGCCTAAGGAGAGCAACGCGACCCCGATTGAGCATTAGAACGAGTCCAGTCAGATCAGAATACGACGGGCGATAGGGCAGATACGAGAGCAAATCGATTAGGAAGACCTAGCAGAGTGAACCCGATCTGGACATAGATGTGACGACAAGCGAAAGGAAAATATGTTGTGCGCTGTTGGATGGAAAATGTCTTCTATACACTAGCGCTTGCTAGCTTGGTAACCCGTTGTGCTTTGACAGTAAATATTACGCGTTCCTACCTCTTCGCTCTCGCCACAAAATGACGGTTACAGTTATAGGATTTTTGATGGAAATTTCAGTGGAGGTTTTTCGCAGTAGCTTTCAAATCAGATGGTATTCCAGATGCTCGAAAAATCACCATATGGCCTTTCGACCTGTTGGTCATGAGCTCGAATCCTGATGGATCCGATAGATACGCACCAATGACAAGACCCAATAGATCGAAACGGCCATCTAGCGTTTTACCAAACAAGTGGGGGAATGTCTGATTGAAAGTCACTACGAAGAAACCCCCTTCAGTTTACAAACAACTGTGTTCACGATCGATCGGCTTCAAGTAATGGGTTGAATTAGAATGCTGGTTAAATCACTCGATGCAGCTCCATAACAGCCTGTGCCAGTGGACCAGGGGGAGTTATGCATGGTTGTTCTAAGTTTTGCGATATATTGGGATGGAGGCTAAGTTTAGAGCAAAATTACTAGTATGGATCAAGATAAAACACGCAGATAAGCGCATTTTTAACCACTCCCTGTTTATTTGACAACTTCTGTCGTATAACTAGTTCTAGCTGCTGAGAGGGAATAAAACTCGTTTGTCACCGACCGTCAAAGCACTGTGGCTAATGGGGTTAGACGGTTTGTAGTGTGTTCAGCACAACTTAACTATCTCGAGAGCAGTATCAGTGAGTATAAGGTGTAACCATCGAGGTGTAAACTTCATTCAGTGTTTGTAAACATTTGGTCATAGCTGTTAAGCTCTCCTACCATTGAGAAGCGTTTGGGAATAATGAGTTTTAATTGGATTCGTTTTAACTGAAACCAGCTAGCCGGACGCCAAATATTCTAGGTTGGTGTTTCCAAACCCCGGTGCACAGTAACTTCATCAACACATCTTTTGGGGCAACACGTTCTACAACGTGACCATGAAAAGTGACTTCGGTATCATCGTACAAGAAAGTCTTGACACTTCGCTCCCATGATCGAAAGCAACAAATGTGGTGAATTTGCACTTGCGGCTTTAAGGCAAGCTTTGGGTACTTATGAGCGAGGTCTAGTGCCAATGCTGATTAACCCGTATCTACGTCCCAATCTTGAATCTGACGTTCAGGCCTGGGATCCATGGTTAAAACGAGAAATTCGTATATTGGAGCAGCCCCCGAGGAGAGTCACCAAAGCAACAAATGGACTGTCCGGTTTCAACTATGAAATGTCCCTTCGTTCACTCAATGTGCTCTCCTCAGAATACCGAGGACTTCGCGGATGTCTCATTCTAACATCCCGGATATAGAGAGCGAGCACCCAAGTAATTCGCTGCTGACCTTAACTCCTTACAAACAACGCCGAGGCTACCACATGAAACTAGTAACGAAACACTTACGTTTGGATTACACAAAAGTATTTACCCTTAGCATCTGTTCCTATTAAATAAATAAATAAGTGTTTTATCCTCGGTAGTGCAAGACACGACTTCAAAGGCATGCTCATGATAATACAAACACGTAGGATCGGTAATTGTATAAAAACATCGCATGTTGACCGATAACATACTGGATCTATGTATGTATGTATGTCCTGTGACTGTCCCCATGGAGGTCACAGTGACAGGCAAATCCGGACATGGACGCCACCAAATCATATATGTAGCTGTATAAGTCACGCTTGCGTAAGTTTGTAAGTTTAATTGAATATCTGCACAGTGGTATGCGGGCGAGGGTGCAGCTGAGTGGAGAGACCTCGGATGACTTTGCACTTGTCTATGGTGTGAAGCAAGACTGTGTCTTAGCTCCTGCCCTTTTTATATATATCTTAATGCAATGTTGTCCTGTGCTTTTGATGCTGCTTGTGCTTACGGTGTTCGTGTGGAGCACCGTATTGATGGTGGGTTGCTGAACATCCGTCGTTTCGGTGCGAGAACTCTAGTCTGTGAGACAACTATCCGTATGTTGCTGTTTTCTGGTGACTGCGTTGTTTGCACACAGCGCGGATGAGTTGTAGCACATGACTAGTGTTCTGGCTTCGACAGCAGCCAAATCCGGGCTCGCCATCAACACAAGCAAAACTGTCTGTCTCTTTCAGCCTTCACCGAAGGTGCAATCCTCAAGATTGCCGTGAATCGGTATTGGTGCTGAAGTATTGGAAACCATCTCCCGCTTCAGCTACCTTGGGAGTGTGATGTCGACTGACCAGCAGCTACACAGTGAGCTGCGTATTCGCGTGTCGAAGGCAGCGGCGGCATACGGGAAGCTAGAGTACCGAGTGTGGAACATCCATCAGCTTACCATTGGCACGAAGCTGATGGTGTACAAATCCATGGCGCTGTCCGTTCTTCTATACGTCAGTGAAACGTGGACGATGTACCGACGGGATATGCAATACCTCGTGCGGTTCCGTCCGCAGTGGTTGCGACGGATTCTGCGCATCAGTTGGTGCGACACAGTTGCGGAAACGGAAGTGTTGTACCGGAGTGGAATGTATGCAATGGACTGCATACTTTTGCTGAGACACCTGAGGTGGCTAGGTCATGTGAGCTGTATGGATTCGACGCGGATACCGAAGCAGCTATTATATGGTCAGCTGAGTATTGGGAAACGGCACGTGGGGAAACCAAGGTTACGTTACGGGGCATGATTAAAGTGAGCCTCTCACGTTCTAATCTTGATTGCAGATCATGGGAATCAAAGGCGGTTGATCGGCGTGCATGGCGCGATCTGATCACGAAGGCCGTTGCCGAGGTGCAAGAGAAAGTCCTCGTGCATGCAGAGAAGAAGCAGCAAGTGCGGAAACGGCAAACACCGATGGGTTGTTTTCCATCGACATCGAGCGCATGGTGCTGTAGCACATGCGGTGGCGAATGCCTGAGTCAGGCAGGCCTAGTGAGCTATGAGCGAGGCCATTCTGGGGCACCACCGAAGAGACGACGGGTCCTGCAGAGAACGTAGGCAGAACCGGCGCAGCGTTTGTAGGTACGCTGTATTCGATTTACTAACCGCGTGCTTGCACACTGAGTGCCTTAATTTCGGGTGGTGGGTTTGCTATATTGTCTTAATGCTTTTTTGTCTCATATTAATGTCTACATGAACTGTCTTCTGTAAGCTTGTACACGTCGCTTACGCTAATTGTAGTTAACTTCAATAACATTTTCGCGTTTATGGCATTTTATTAAAATATATTTCCTGACGTATTGAACCTTTCGCGAAAATTTTCAACCAATTTATTTCATACGCTCATTTAGTGAAGAGTTATGTCACCGTATCCATATGTTTTCTTAGATTTATCGTCGTTTCAAGTGCTTGGGTGTTGTTTGACATCTCCGGTGTGGCTGCGCTTGATGCGCATGTTGACAAGGTGCCTACCTGTCTATTACTCATTAACTCGTCCATACGGGTTCTAGAAGACAGTTGGTCATTGATAGAGATGACGGGTTGCACGGTCCTTCTGGCCGTGCTCTGCTCGAAGAGTGGTTCCATGCACTCAGTGTAGAGTGGACTACGGTTCAGCCACCGCCTGGTGTGCGCTTGATTCCCAACTACAGTGTGCTTGTGTTTGCTGTGAAGGAGTGTGGGCCGGCTCCGTTTATGAAACGTGGCTCCCATCCACATGCCTACCGGTCTTATTTCTTCGGGTTTACACTGGATACGGAGTGCGTGGATGGAGCTGTGGGTGGTGCAGCGCAAGCCATCCATGGTCCCTCTGTAGGCGCAGGCGTCCTGTGGCTGGCCACAGTGACAGGCAAATCCGAAACCGGATGCCGCCAACCAAGTCATGCTGACGTATGTGTAAGTGGACATGGTGAGTGAATTTGTTAATGTGACTCTGAATTCGTGATTTTGTTCGCTGTGTTCGCCATCGTATGAAGTGATCAAAGGAATTCTTCGAACTGGATGACGTTACTGAAGTGGGAAAGATCCTCCGGAAAAGTAAGAGGTAGTGACTTTATTTACTGGCGAGTCACATCCGCCATGTCCCATTGTTCTTAAACGGACCTTTGTGACTTTTTATGGGGAGAACGCTTACCAGGCGAAAACCCACCACGTTTTGGAACGGGATTAACCCGAACCACCCAGCTGGCACTACGGGGAGGTTGTTTAGTGGTGAATGCACCAAACGTCGCGACATTCGAAAGACTACTAGACCTTCATGTGTGCTAAACGCTACACAACTGTATGATAATTGCAATGTCTAGATTAATGATCTTTCACTTTCCACGCCGGGACACTTCGCTTTTGAGTCTATTTGTATTTTTCCTCCTGTGGGTCGTGTAAAATTGGAACTTTTTCTAATCATACACCATTGACGGTTGATGCATCTGATGTTTCCTTAAGTTAAAAGTCAGTGAACGCTTTGACCATAGTACGGTCCATATGCCATGCCTGTAAAAGAATTAGTTGAAGCAACGTTTCAAATCACTAGAAAATAAAACCGGAACGTCAGTTCTCAGGAGCGGGCCAACCAAGCTGCTTACTCGGGCAGACATTCGTTCGTAGTATGCGCTGCATAAGCAAGAGCTTTTGACTGGTAATGTTAGTTCCTACCGGGTTAAAACTAACTGGCATGCCGGTTTTCCTCTTACAAAAGTTAGTTGAACCTGGAAATGTTAGAGGTCCTACAAATGCACCGATTCTAGTATCAAAAACTTTACCTTTGCACCACTGAACAGACGCAGTTTATACCGATGGCGAAGGGGGTAACGTGGATCTGGTGACCCCAAGAATCCTCCGACGATACGAGCGGGAACCCAACATTCGCAAGCGGCGTTCAAATTTTTCACTCTAACTAGAGCCGTATCACCGACCTGTGGGTGTGATGGAAAAGTATCGACAATTGTTGCGCAAGCCACACACACAGCACCTCACATGTAGTGGAAATCGATATTGCGATGTATTTACTGTTCTACTCACATGTAACGGTATTTTGAATAATACTAGCGAAGATTGGGCTAATAAGCCAGGGAGGCATTGCAACGAAATAAACTGAGTGACCATATGTTAATGCAAACCATAAGCGATAATAGAGGTTTATCACACCTAGGTTGAGTCAGCCAACCATCACACGCCTGGAAAAGCACTGTATGGCCGTTTCATCCTTTCAGGAATCGTATCTGTTCCAGTTCATCTGCTCCCTGTGGGGTTCGAACCCGCAACTCGAGTGCAGGCAGTCCGTGGTTAAGACCACTGTGCTACGATAGACGTTAACGACCAACGTGATTAAGTTATTAGATGTGATGTAGAGCTATTCACTATACACTAACCTGCATGTTACTACCGTGTAGAGGCCAGGGTAGCCCCTTCACCGAATGACGAAGTTGCCAAACTTAAGCCAACACAACTTGTGGTATTATAAGCAGTTTGGTCTGCGTACTTGTTGAATGAGACTAATAGAGAAGAGTTGAATGGTACAGATAGAAACGCCTCACATCCAGATGCAGTCATACAGCCATTACACGTGTAGAAAAGCACTGTACGCCCGTGCCGTTCCTTCGGGAATCGTCAACAGTGCACATTTCATTTGGACTATGTGAGGCTAGAATCCGCAGCTAGTCACCAGTCTGTGGTGGAGATCACTGGGCTACGGGGGACGGTAACGACCGATGTGAATAAGTCACTAAATCTGATATGGCTCCGCTCCCTATTCACTGAGTTGCATGTTACCGTCGTGCTGAGGACAGGCTAGCCCCGAAATGACGACACGGCTGAACAGTGCTTTTCCTGGCGTATGATGTTTTTGCGACTGAGTGTAAATGTGACAAGCTACTCATACCTTTCAACGCCCCCTAATACTCCCTTGTAATAAGAGATAGCTTATAGATTCATTGTCTCGTTATAATACCGTGATAGCGTTCAGTTGTCGCAAGCGAGCTTGAGTGCCATCATGAAACAGCGTCCACATCATTTTGAGTGATACATCATCGATCTGGCAGTTCGTTACATCACTCTTTGGACATCCATGGCCAAATTTACAGTGAATCGCAAGCAGCTGCTAGATTTGGGACTCACATTCAAAGATTGTGTGTGTAGCATGTCCACCACCGGTAGAGTCAGCTGATTTGGGACCTCCAACAGAGTTCCATTGTGCCTGAACCGAACGATTGACGATTCCGGTGCTACACACTTTTGAATCAAGCCTGCAATCGGAAAGGTAGTCGCAAAAAGTAACATGACACATTACAAACGCTCTGCTGCCTGATTACTCTGCAACAAAACAAACTGGTGTCTGAGTTCTTTGACAGGGATATTTTCAAGATCCGTATGCGATCAGAAGAACCTTACGTTCATACGCAAGCTGCTGAAAGTTAGTTTAAAGTGTTTAAACTCCTTTAACAAATAGGGATATGTAGTCATGGCGAATGCTAGGGACTATGCTCTTTGAACTTCGCACTCCGCAACTAGGTTTGTGCTTACTTGCGACGCGAATTCGAAATGTCGGGTAGTCAGCGGAAGCCTCTATCTCCAAGACACTGAGTCACAGACAACGCTTGGTATAATGGTACATAACCATTTAGAAGAGCAGTTTTAATGTTCTCATAGTGTGAATAGATTGCAACACGTAATCTCAGCCTAGGCCGCTATTCACATTGAAGTGAAGCTTCGTTAATTTGATCGTTGGGGCCCAGCTTGGGGCAAACGGAGGTCACGTGTTGCCCTTTCGCAACACAGCACTCCAGGACCGGTTTCGTGCTCATTCATGCACTGGTTAGGTAGAGACAGCCGCACTTCGTCTCGAACCTGAGACACGCTGGGGCCACAAGCCGAAAACTTTCCCCCTTTATGACCGAATCGACTGAGGTTCACTTCAATGCTAATCTCTGTCCAGATTGTGATGGCCTGAGGCAGTCCGTTTACACACGCCGTGTGAATAACGGTTTCTGCTCGCAGTCTCTGCGTTCCGGTTTGTAGTTGTAGTGCTGTTATCTCAGCCCGTCGATTGCATGCAGGGGTCATTTTGAAGCAGCTAATTGTTAGGTGTTAGCTTCTCACAATCATATACTCCATAACGCGTTTCAATCTTATCTCATCGGATAAAGACACCACGTATAGAACCCGGGAACATAAGAAGTTTAGTCGAAACCTCTAACCCTTGGGACACCAAGTCACAACTGGCAACTCTTGTCACAACGGTTAATGACTGGTCTTTGAGTCCTTTGAAAGCAATCGTTGTGTCCTTTGGTTGCAACATGTAACCTCAATGTAGACCACGTTTTACATCGAAGTGTATTTTGTCCAATCCGATCACTGGGACCGTACCTGCTGAAGCAGATGAATATGTGGTGTTGCCAGCCCGAAAATGCTGGGCTCCACCTCATCTGGGGAGATCCGGACTGTGATTTGTACCCAGCATACTTAGTTTATTGCCTATTGTCGTGCAACTATTCCGATGAGCCATTAGTGCTCCTCCAATAGCGGTCAGGCGAAGAATTAAACGGAAGCAGCTCTATTAGCAGTTGACACGGGGGTGCTAACCTCATAGGTCGACAGAAATCGGTCGCCGGATGTACATGAGCACCGTTGCAATGAGAATTGAAGGACACAACTAAGCCTGTCAGCTACACATTAGGTGAACTGAGTACCAACACAATCTATGTTCCAGTATTTCATTGGAATCAGGGAATAATTTCCAGATGAAACAACCGATGTTCGCTAATGGACGAAACGTGAAGGAGGCGCTCATTTGTTCTACACACTACCCTTGAGTAAACACATAATCACACTTGTCAATAATCAAAGCTTACCGGGGTAAAATATTCCGTCGGCATCATTGAAGGCAATAACCCGCTGATGACAATGACGTCTAAGATACCGATGCATTTGCTCATCAGTTGGCCCATGGGGAGGCGACAAAACCGGAAGGACCAGATTTCTGGGACATGGCTTCGGCCTGATCACCGACTTGGCGTCTCGCGATCCCTGGATTGGGGAGGTGGAGCGACTTATTTTTGTTTCCGGATCTTTTGGTGGCATGTCTCTCTCAAACAAAGAAAACGGTACAGGTGTTCCGAACAGTCTTCCACCTTTGAGAAAATAGTTTGAAGAAGAAATTTTTTGTTCACTGGCCGGGCGGGCAGGAGTGTTTCCACCTGTCAACTCCACAGACTTCGCACGCCGCCATTCTGTCGAGCTATCGCCAATGGTGAAAGCATTTCTGGGCATCAGCTGACAATGACCTGCACAGTCATCATCTGGGAAACGCTCGGGAATTTTTTCTCTCGGTTGAAACAGCCAATTACCTTCCATTTTTGCCGCATCCGAATGTAGAAACGCATAGCGTTTGTGACGACGCTTCTGTAGAACTGATCGACAACACGGCATTTCACCTGGAGACCCGACGCGTCTGTCTGTTATCCTCTTCTTTTTGCCACACCTGCAGCATGTGAACTGCTTGACATAGAGGGAAGACAGCTTACCACTAGGAAGCCATGGTGCCTCGGGGTACTGATATGGTACATATCGCGTATCCCAAGCCCACGTTCCACCCAGTATTGGAACCCTCCCAGGTATGGACGGTGGAACCTCCAATGAGTCGGAGAATATCTCCCGTGGACTCAGCTCAGGGGATAGAGTGAAGGATTTGGCTTGATACAGATCCGTGATGGTTGGGTCTGGGGATCGTACTGTTGCAGGCGACAGTGTGCGCACACGATTCGGTCCCATGTACCTGCAATGGATGCACGTGCATGGTTGATCAAACCGATGTGATGGCGAAGAGTTGATGGAGTTTACTGCGATACTCGACGGAGACAGTTTCGTATGATCCTCTGTTAGCACTAGGTGTCTTCCAGGCATTGCGTTGTTATTCGTTTGCCGTGGTATGGCACTTCTCCATTGTAACTTTTTACTTCGACTTAATGGTTGCCGGATACTGGGCAGTCGATTTGTATGAAAGTGCCGACGAGCTCCCACTGTAGTTCCTCTTGGTGTATGCGCCTCCGATGCGGGACACAATATGGGTACCAGTGCGAGCATTCCGCTAAGGAAAAACTGATCTGGAGCATCAGTAACTGGAACGCAGTGCTGAAAGAAAATGGCGGAAATAAACTATCCGTGAGACTAAGGCAACATCATTCAAGTCAAGTACGCGACATAGAGAATATCACGTGGGGTTTCACATTTGGATCACGCCTGGGTTGGTTTGCCTCGATGAATTCGCGAATAAAATATTTACTTATTTATTTGTTTATTTATTTCTGCACCCATACCTTTGTGATGAACTCTTATGTTCAGCTATAAATCAGTCTTTTCGTGTTTCTGGTTTCCTGGTAACTGCGCACAAGGACCTGGAGCGGTGGCCAGCAAAATACTCACTAAAGTGCGGCTAGTGTGTTTATACACCAACAGGTGATATCACTTACAATGTATACATGGAGCGTTAGCAGGAAACGGAATACCTCTCCGGCGTTTGATTACGTTGCCCGATAAAAGTAAACCACTTCCTCGATAAGGAAACAATCGGATTTATGTATAGCAGAAACAGTTTCAGTGAATGCTAAAACTGCAACAGAGAACTTGTTTCATTAGTCACTTCACTCTAGCTTGTCAGACTGATCTTGGTAAAGAAGCGCTTGGAGCCGTATTTTCGTGACTCGAGTGACCATAAAGTAACACGAAACTTTTACCGGAGAGTAGTTTGGGCAACACTGAATTGGTTTAAATTGAAGGGTAGTAGGTAAGATTAACCGAGGACTGCGGCAGCACCAGTGCCTTTACTATTTTGATTTGACAGACAGGAACTCCAACCGAAACGTCGGTCGTTCCTTTGATCCAAGACCAGGGAGATGGTAAGTACGATGCGGACTGACAAGTAACTGGTCGCGTTGTTAGCTCGCGGAGGCAAGTGAATTTCCACAAAAATAATGTGGCCCTGTAGTAAATGGCCTACAGGTATGCGAAGACAGTGACCTAAGTAATCTTGGTGGCGCAAGTGTAACGGGCATTCCTTTTGGAGTCCAAACGGTCTGTTTCCGAACACCAAACGGCGAGCCTCGCTGTTTCACACAAAACTAACTGTGTATGTGTGGATGGAGACAGACAAGATAGGTCATGTAAAAAGTCATGCACGCCATAATTAGTATCCCCATATCGAACCCAAGTACTTTTGAATAATACGCAACAAGCTGGGCAACTATTCTCCAGTCTTTGACTGTAGTATCGGTAGTCGCACAGTTTCAAAAGTGTAGCATCTGCTGCACGCGGCAGAGTGGATAAGCAAACATATGCTACCGCTTTTACCTTCCGCATCTCGTTTTCGCATCCTTTTCCTGCTCCCAAATACTAATCTTCCCACTATAACAGTATCACCGAGAGTAGATGCAATGTCACTAAAGTTTCATCATCTACCCAAAGTCGCCAATATCCCCTTAACAGGAGGCGCTCCTCCGTCTCTCTACCGACATTTACTGTTCTTGCTGAGTAGCCGAAAGTAGGATCACTAGCTCCATGTTGTTTTTAAACGATTGGTGACCGGCTAATTCTCTCGCTATTGATGACTCGCATCCGGTGACACTGATGTAGCAAACAAGTTGAAGAGGGTATACAATTATCACTTTAAATCGGACGTTTTGCAAACCACTTTGGATGTATTGCAAAACACATGGGACTTCTGCGAAACAATTGGGGCGTTTTGCAAAAGATATCGGACGCTTTGCAAAGCAAATCCGACGTTTCACAAAATAAATTTTACGTATGCTTCTTGTCAGAGAATAATGAAATTTTGGCAAGAAATGTGGAGTAAGGCGGCTGGGCGATGTTCAGAGCACATTTCGGTCACGACAATGCAACTGAACTGTGCAAACAGCGGGCGATTGCGCGAGCCCCTCTCTTGACCAGGAGTGTCACCTCGATAAAACTTTTACGCTGTCCTTGTAGTGCCCTCCTCGTATTTTGTTTGCGTGTGTGGGCCAACCTACGCAGCTGCACGACTACTGCGACAACCGCCTTTTGCTGCATGAAACGACCCAGCATGAGCCACGGAAGACGAGAGAGCGCAGCTCCGAGGCAGTGACCATACAAACGAACGTCATGGGCACATAACGACGTCCTCCCCAAGCTTGTTTTCGTTGACAGCATGACCACCTACGAAGCGGATAAGTTCGCCGATATCAACGACTGCAGTGAAGAAATAAACATATATCAACATTACTCAGCGCAAAGGTGGAAGAAACAATAGGGAGGCGAATTCTTGTTGTCATGTAGCGCGTTGAGTAGACCGCTGAATGGCATTCGCAAGGTACTTTGGTGCAGCTACAGCAGCGACTGAGAAGGAACGATATCCACCTGTCCGTGTCTACTGTCTTCGACGCACACAGAAAGCTAAAAATTACGCTGAAGAAGTGCCGTTAGGAGCTAGACCGTGTCAACAGTGCTCCGACCGTCGCTAGTCAGAGGTCTACATTCTCGACTTCTTGGTATACGCCCTACAACACAAGTGAAAGACATACTACAACAAACTATTGTTTATTTGAAATCCCTAATCGTGACTGAATGAGGGTCCGAAAGTGTAGTCTGTATAATATAGCTGAACTCGCGCTAGTTCAAATTTTGCCCCAAAAATGAACTTTTGTACTCGCTCTGTTCGTTCTTTACTGATAGTTGACCTACTTTCAACTCTTGCAGTGTCAGACACAACACATTCCAAGGGCACTTTGATGCAACTGCAGCAGTGGCTGAGAGAGGGAGAGAGCCGGAGCCACCTATTCGTGTTTACGGTGTTCAACGCTCTGAGGTAACGCCGAAGGACTGCCACTACGAGCTAGCTAGGGTGAAAGGTTCCACGACAATCGCAAGTCCGCATGGCTGCCCTTTCTACCCGGTAAACGACCTACTCACACTTGTTAAGCCTGGCACTTTGGATAGCAAATTGCGTGCTGCAAAAGGAAAAAGATGTATTGACAAGAAAAAAAGGTTTAAGTTATGGAGGCTGTCACTTGATGTACAGCTGTCCGGATGCCGCATTTGTCGAATTCGACATCATATTGAGGACGCAGTGGCTACAGTCCTGCTGGGTAACCATCTAAAAGCTCTCTTGTATGACCGCACTTAGCGACTGCTCAGATGTCGGGCTCGTCAGCCGGGCTCTGACCGACGCTTTCACCTTGGAAAACACATGTTCTACAGGGTTCAGCATGTACGAGTAAGGAGACAAGAACTTTAGCTGATAAGTGGAGCCCAGGATCCTCCGTAGGTCATTTGGCATGTGAATGCGCGCGTTGTCCATGATGAGTCATGCGCCGTTCATCGCCACTCTGTCGCGTAGCCCCGCCACAATTTCCTCGATGGAAATGGAGAACTTAGCATCAGTGCAGGTGCTGTCGCAGATCAGTTTGCAGTGGATGATCCCTTGGTTATTCATTGCCACAATCAGCGTCCCCCTGCGGCCTCTGACTGCGTCCCTCTTCTTGAGCGAGACTATGTCCGCCGTAGGTTTAGATGGAACCCGGTTCCATCTATGGGGATACATTTACTCTTGTCATGCGGCGCGTGTACCGAGAAGTCCAGAGCGTACGCCTGCCGACTTCCCATGGTCGTAACATTGTTGACACAGTCTAACTCGTGGTGGTATTTCTACAGCGTGATCTGCAGTCTTCTGAGTGCGTTGAAGACCGTAGACACGGACAGGTGGATGCCGTTTCCCCTCAATGGCGGCTGCACCAGCACCAACGTATTCCGCGAATGTTGTTCAGCGGTCCCTTCAACGCGCTGCACACACCAGGAGTCAGTTTCTCCCTGTTGTTACCTCCACATTTGCGTTGAGCAATGTCGCCTTCTAGTCTGTAGGCATTGATGATGTTTCTTGTCGTACTTTCGTTGATATCAGCGACTTGAGCGGCCTCATGCGTGGTTTTGCTGTCATCGAGAACAAGCTTCTTGAGGATTTCTTTCTGCGTCAATGATGTTCGTCCATATAGACGCCGCATCGGAGCTGCGTCCTCTCGTAGTTCGTCGCCAATATTGGTCGTTTCATGTAGCACATGGCTAATGAAGTTATGCTAGATTCGATGGAATTCAAACAGCTTGCAATGCTCCAATAACCTTGTAGCTTCATAGGTTCGCCCACACACCCACACAAAATGCACGAAGGCCTCTGTAGTGACAGGGTAAAACTGGGTAACCGACATTGATGGACGTGAGCGATACTATAATCAAGAGCGGGGCTCACAAAACCCCGTTGATTGCCCAATATTGTTGCATTATAGTGTCGCGTACATCCATCAAAATCGGTCAAACAGATTTCCCTGTCACTACAGGGACCTTCGCGTATGTTGTGTGGGGTGTGCGCGAACTCATGCAGCTACATGATTGCTGCTGTTCCTTTCACATTTGCACTAAGTTAGGATGCTCTCTTGCGTATAGACATTGTTCATATACATTTATTTCTTGCACTGCTTTTGTTGATATCGGCGAATTAATCAGCTTCGTGGGTGGTCATGCTGTCAATGAAAATAAGCTTGGGGAGGACGTCGTTATGTACCCATGACGTTCGTTTGTATGGTCGCCGCCTCGGAACTGCGCTCTCTCGTCTTCCCTCCCTCATCTTGGGTAGTTTCATGCAGCACAAGGCAGTTGTCGCAGTAGTCGTGCAGCTGCGTAGGTTGGCCCACACACGCAAACAAAATACGAGGAGGGCACTACAAGGACAGCGTAAAAGTTTTATCGAGGTGACACTCCTGGTCAAGAGAGGGGCTCGCGCAATCGCCCGCTGTTTGCACAGTTCAGTTGCATTGTCGTGACCGAAATGTGCTCTGAACATCGCCCAATCGCCTTGCATCTCATTCCTTGTTATAAATTTCCTTATTATCTGACAAGAATAACGTGTAAAATTTATTTTGCAAAACGTCCGATTTGCTTTGCAAAGCGTCTAAAGTGGTTTGGCAAATGTCCAAAATGGTTTTCAAAGCGTCCGATTTAAGTGAGAAGGTTACATCTCTCTTATTTTATGGCTGAATCATTTCTGGTGGAGTGGATTCCCGTGCGTACTCGTCTGGCAATATTAGGTTAACGCACGGACCAGTACGTCG